TGGGCGTAGGCAGGGGCACCTCCTTGTCGCTGGCCGTGGCCTCGCGCACCAGTCGAGACTCGCCAGAGACATTGGTCTGTTTGCGTGATGCCTTCTCAGGACTGGGAGCCAGTGGCGTCAAAGCGCCTTGAATGCCACTACGGGCGGCCAAAGTCCGAAGACGACGGGCACGCATCTGTAAGATTCGAGTGGTTAGTTAACTCTATAGTTCTGCTACTTAATAAATCAATTAAATCTAAGCAATCGATATAAGAAACTTTAAGGACAATTAGTTTAAATTCCTTAAAATGACTTAATCGTTACAAAAGTTAGAGAGGTGAATCTATAATGGTTTGTGAAACGGATAGTAGGCTCTTAAGTGTATTCCGAAATTCAAATTCACAAATTGCAGATCGGTTTCAAATGGAAAAGGGCACGTAAAACAATATCAATATATGACTAAGCGGCATAGTTCAATTCGAAATACTGGAATGCATTCCAAAATAAGTTGTTAAGATGTACTTGCCTCTTCGGCGGATAACTCGGCGACCACAACCGTCTCCGCCGGCTGTTGTGGCTGCTCCTCTGGTTTGTCCTCCACTAGCTGTTGCTGTTGACTTGGCACATTGTCCTGCTGATGCGGGGATGGCTGATGCTGGTCCTGGTCCTGTTGCTGGTCCTGGTCCTGCTCCTCATCCTCCTCCTCCTCCATGGGCTTCTGTGGCGGCTCTTCTTCCGGCATTTCGCGGATCCGTTGCGAAACAATGCGCAGTTGCTACGAAATGGTTTTTCCTCTCTGTTTTTGTTTGTTTGTGGCGTAGTTTTTCCGCCGCTTCTTCTCCTGCAAGACGAGTGGCGATGATGTGGGTTAATGAACCAAACAAAAGCACGCGCAGTAGACAAATAAATACAAAAAAAAAAAAAAACAAAGTCCAGCGGTCAACGTCAAGTTCAAGACGAGACAATGCCGCTTTCTGCTTCACCAAAACCAGCACCAGATGGATTGCTGTTTTCTCTTTGTGAGCAACTACGCACTACGAGGATGTTGGCTACGCGGAATGTGGCATATCTGGGGGCCAGGACAACCTGCCTGACCTGCCACAAAGAATCAAAATCAAAATAAGATTCAGATCGCTCGAGGTTGACAAAAAATGCACTGCTGCAACTATTTATAGAAGGGGATTTCGAGCAGGGTGTACTGCACCTACCCAGAAGTGCAGTAAACAATATCATAACATATGCGAATCGGACGGGGAAACCTTATATAATGGATGCCGATCGGCAGGGCAGAGAATGGTCAATAAATAGACTCCCCCTAAAAGTAATCTGCGCATTTGAGGAAGCGAATAAAGTACACAAAATCGAGATATATAATCGGGAAATAGGGGGTGAGTAAGGAATCGGGGGTTGCGGGGTTCCGTGGGCGCACTTACCTGACTCTCCGGACAGACTTTCACCTGCTGCAAAGCAAATTGTTTATGTTCCGGCTCTAAACTATTGCATTTTACTGCATGGCCACAGAATTTGCGTTAAGTGAATCCCGAATGAACCACGACTGGTGACCACGCAAAAAATTTCTCTTTTGTTCCGATTCGAGGTACGGCTATGGGGCCCTAGCTGGCTAGATATTTTGGACCGCCCGATGGCAGTCAGATATTGAAACAAGTGAGTCACTGGCGACGTTTCGGACTCTGAAAATGTGGCACACTGCCGCACCAAGGTCCAATAAAATTGCTTTTAATTTTTGGGTTTCGCGTCGTCGAACTGAGTTTCAGTTTGGCCTTTTCCCCAACGGTCACACTGCCCGCTTGTGCGGAGTCAGAGCGGCAGGCTGGTCCCACTTAGGGATGGACCGACCAGCGATAGTTGGTTTAACCCTTGTTGGGGCGGTCTTTTCTACACGTATATAAATTTATAATATCTGGTAACAGGTAAATAGCTCAATTATATGGTGAAAAAACTTGAAAAAGGTCATCTTGAATTGAGAGCTTTCTTATGAAAATATAGCAATGCCAAACAATCAAAGTACGGAATTCAAATAGGGTTTTGCTAGATTAGCTCCAATTCAAATCTTATCGATATATGAAAATTTTGAAACAAAATTGGTATATTTACGGTTATTTAATTCAGTATCTTGTAAACTAATAGAAAATTGTATTCTGGTCTTCATCATTATAATTGGTATAGGTGGGAGAAAGAAATTGTTAAACAAATTGCTTCTGGTGTCTGAATTTTTCCTTACTATTTATAATAAAGTATAAATTAATATGATTAATTGACAAAAAAAATAGTTTATATTCATACCAAATTCAAATAAATTGGTAAAAACTTCAGACTTCATTAAAAAGTTAACGGCAATTGTTAACTTTGGCGTATTTCTGAATTGAATTAAAAACAGATAATAATGTGGCATATAAAATGCAGTTCGGAAGTTTTTATTAAACAAACAGAATAAACCCTATGACGAAAATAAATGTCCTATACAACCATCAAATGAAACTACACATGTTTGAATTATTTTTGTTCAACAAAAGAAAATCATTTACTTCATTTTACAAAAATGTTACAATTATGTGGAGCCTAATTAAGAACCTAATACCTAAATAGTTGCTACTAGAAATCCGTGTATCGCTGTCGCAGACTCTGGCGTTTGGCAACGTGATGCATCTGCAAGAAAAGGTGCGTAAAAATGACAATGGTTTGAAATAGTTATTAATAAGGTAATTGTTGACTACTAACCAAACGCTGTTGACGTCGTTCGCGATTCTTTTCGTAGGCCTTGAGCAGCGAGGGGCACGTGCGCTTAATGAACTCCTCCGATTCCCAAAAAAGACCGCCTTGGTTCTCGTACCGTAAAAGAAATTCAACCTGTAAGAGATTTTAAATATGAACAGAAAACCAATTATTTAAATATGATTTACTAAAACTAAGACACATTAAAGAGTTTAACGAAAATAACTATAATGTTTAGTGAGCTTACGCAAACTCAATTCCGTCAAGAACCTTAGGCAACTAATATTTATATATTATTTGTAGTTTATAAGTTTTTGTTCTGCCATTTTTCAAGTTTCGGTCTCAAATTTAAACTATTTAAGTATACAAAAACCCTATACAAACCCTCTATTTAGGGTAATACTATTATCGAAGTAGATACTTTAAACAGATTTAATTATAACAATTGTGCAATTCGAAATGTAAGCCTGCATATCGTTGCGTCTTTTTTCTTTTGGTAAAATAAACTTGTAGCTTCTATGAAAATAAACATGAATACTGGAAAGTAAAAGCCTTAAAACCTGTAAGTTTATTTTAACTTGCCTTGCCCGCCTTGGTTTCCTTGCCCAGAATTCGTTCAATGCCGTTCTCCGGCTTGATGCGTCTGAAGAAGTCCTCGTCGTTGAACTCCGTGACCACCTCCTCGCCGACCTCGTTCAGCATGTCCTCGATGCTGAGCAGTCCGTCCTGCAGCCGCTCGCCATTCTGCTCCACGCGTTGCACAAACGTCAATGGGTGCTGCTTGAGGTAATCTTCTGCCTCGGCAATAGTCTTGGCCAGGTCGAACTCCTCTTCCGGCTCCTCCTCCTCGTCCTCGTTGTCCTCGTACTCCTCGGCCTCGCCGTCCAGCTCCATGCCATCAGCATCACAGTTGGCGCCGCTGGGCGATGATGCCCGTTTGGAGTGCGCGGAGCGTCGCTTCTTTTTCACCCAGTTTCCGCCATCGTTCTCCTTGACGTCCGGATGGAAGCGCACCTTCTTCACACGGAGACTGGACGCTGCGGATTCTGTGTCTGTGGTGGAATTGTTTGGGGTCTGCGGCTCCAGCAGGCTGCTGTTGCTGGAAACGGACGTGGATGCCGATACTGATGCGCCGGAGCTCTCTGCCAGAGTGGTCTCCTTGAGGTTCTGTGAGATTAGCTTGACTTTCGTCTCGAAGGCAGTACAGGAGGATGTGGGCGAGTTGCTGGCCGGATGTTCTGGTGGGGATTGGCTGCTCGGCGGACTGTCGCCCTCGCCCTGCGTCCCCGCCGCAGCTTCAGTCTTTTGATTCGTCTGATTCCCGGCACTCGCCTCGTCGCCCGTTCCAGTTCCAGTTCCCGTTCCCGTTCTCGCCCCCTTGTCCATTGTTTCCGCAGCGGAGTCCCGGCTGCAGTTGTCCAACTCCTCAGGTGAGGCCATTGTGTCCACATTGGAGTCTCCCGTCGTCTCCACCATCACACACTTGATTTGCATAGATTTATCTAGCGAGTCACTGCCAGCGGAGTCATCATTGGACTTGGTATCCATGTGGCTGCGGCTCCGGGGGATCTGCGTTGGCTCTCTGTCGTTTGGGGAAGCTGCTACAGTCCAAATCTGGCTAAATGCATCGCAATACAATTTTTATAAAAACTTTGTTTAGAGCTGGGTCAGCCACTCACAATGGTATCGATACATCGAGTACTTGGGCATCGATGATTTCGTTTCGATAGTAGGTGAAAGTGCTGAATTTAAAAATTACGATTACGACTCGTTTGCACTGCGTTATTGCATTGTGTTTTCGATAAGTCCGTATATTGGCCATAAATTTCATGACTGGTGTTCAACGTCAGAATCTTTTTTTATTTGTTTTTATTTTTTTCCTTAAAGATTTAATTGACCTAAAATCCAATTGATAAGCTGAATAACGGGTTAGGCATAAAACAAATTATTTCGGTTTCGACTATACCGGTTAAGAATAACGGTTACAATACCGGTTGGAAATTTTAAATCTTAGTAGGCTGAATATATATATATATAAAAACAATGCTTCGATTTATGAACAGCGTAGAAAGAAATTAGCCAGAAATGTTTAAAAAATGTCTAGATGTTTTAAGACACTGATTTATACATGCGCAAAAATTATTTTCTAAAATTCTAATCGAAATTTATTCAGCATATAAAAAATGCTACTGGCTTATTTATGTTTTCGGGCTTAGGACCTTTTCCTATAAAAAGTCCCTCTTCAAAAGACAAAAACCTTGACACATAGAAAAACGTTCAATTGTAAATGCAACTTGTGTATTTTTTATTTGATTTCTTTATTAACAATTGTTTTTTGTACATTTTTTTCTGTTGTAATTTAATGCCGTAAATCTTCGTGTCTGTTGGTGTGTGTGTGTGTAAGTGTGGTGTGTATCTGTGTGCGTAGTAAAGAAAACTAAGTTATTTACACTAATTTTAAGTTTAAATGTAGTTCACTGCTAAAGACTATTTAATAACTAATATTTATTGTGTGTATAGATATCGGTAACGATATTAGATGTATATATGCATATCAAAGGCGGTTGCAGTTATATCCAAGTAAGTTTCTGTATACGTATCGCTTGTTTGCGTTATCTTTTGTTTTGATTTGCTTTGTTTAAATGTTTCTTTGCTTTAAAGTTTAAACTATTTAAATATGGCCCCGCTATTCCACATGTGTTCTTTTCGTTTGCTTACAGTTTATGATAACATTTTGTTTGTAGTGTTTACGCTTACACTGTGCTATAAATACGTTGTTTGTTGCCAAACAATCGTAGTAATGATAAGAACATAACTATTCCGTAGTAGAACTATAAACTAATAATTAATTTTAACCGTGTGCTGCACTTGTACAAAATAATATTGCAAATATTGCAAAAATTTCCCTATTCTCTGTTGATTTTTGAATTGCATTTAAAGTGTGTTTGTTCTCGCAGCAGCTGTGTGTAAATATATATATTTATAGATTTATATAGTATGTATATAGTACCATATTCATTGCATGATATACGCGCTCACCTCTTTTTGTTTTTCTTTTTTTTACAGTTTTTTTTTGCATTTACAATTATCAATAATCACAGTTCCCATTAGAAAAATTAAACGAATTAATTGTAGCAAGACTTAATTTTGAATTTATCTTTTTTAACTTCTATACAAACTCGATTTCTTTGAAACGCTTTTGGATCTTGCTCTGCTTGGTTGGGTCTTTTTGTTACATTTTAGTTATTTAGCCAATGGTAAATATATATATTTTAATATATAGCTTATAGTTTTCTCTCTGATAATTTACATTACAATTAGTTTAAATTACATTTGCACCGTTCTATCAATTAAATACAGTAAGAATTCGGGGTAAAGTATTCGAATTTTTTTTTTTTGATTTGATAAATTATGGATACGTAACTAACTAAACAAAATTTAAGTGCAGGAACATGTTCCAACTAGGTGTGTATATGTGGGTTGTGTGTTAGTGACAATAGAAATCTTTGAAAGGTGCCTTAAACGAAACGAATCCCAAACTCCAGTAAATCGTACCCCAAAAAAAATAGAAAACATAAGCAACAACAAAAAGTATTAACAAAACCAAAACTCACTTAACTCACTTAACTCACTAGATGCATAAGGTAAACTTAGGTGTAATGTGTTTAAACATAATAAAAGATTTGACCTGTGGGGAGGTCTACTTTTTGGAAATGACTTTGCCAGTCCTGGCATTGACCAGTATCATTTTGTCCGGTGTTGTGGCTCGTTCCTGGGCCTGCGATTCGTCCGGCTGGTTGCCACCTCCTCCTCCTCCTGCTCCTCCTGCTCCTCCTCCTCGAAGGATCCTGCGGCGGAGGCGATCGCTGATGTTCTCGCTCTGTGTTTTCTGCGACTCCAGGTGTGTGCCTTCTTCCTGCGAAGAGGATGGCTTCACACTCAAGCCGCCCTCGTTCTTGTACAGAATCAGCTTGGTGCTGGCCTTCTTGGCCGGCGGTTCCTCGAACTCCTCGACTGCTCCTGCTGCTGCTGTTGCTGCCTCTTCATCTGGACTGATTTGCTGCGGCTCCAGCAGCACATTGGCGTTCATCACATTGTCCTGGTTGTTGTTGTGCTCGGTCTGCTGCTGCTCCTTGGAGGCGCTGTTCTCCTCCAGCTCCTGCTCCCGCTCCCGCTCCACACTTATCTCGAGCTGATCGTAGCAGGTGTAGAACTCCACGGACTTCAACTTCTCACCGGCATTGAAATGCACGGCCGTGTGCTCCTCCATTTCGGCCTCCTCGTTGGCACTGTAGTCACAGTGGGCGCACTGCTGGCAACCGGGCATGGGCGTGGCCACGCAGGCATGCTTCTGGAGATGCTGCAGCAGCTCCTCGTGCTGCTGCGTCTCGAAGGGGCAGTGGAGGCAGCGTTCGGGTGCCGGCACTGACCTGGGCATGTCCACGGACCCAGCATCGCTGCTGGCATCCGCTGCCAAGTCACTGGTGGCCACCGAGGCGCTGGTCGACGGCGTGGAGCTGCTATGTCGTTCCTCGTCCTCCTCTGGTCCTTCGTTTTTGGCCACTGACGGAGTGATCACTACCTGGCCACCGCCCGATTCCAGCTGCTTCTTGAGCAGCGAGTTTTGATTATCGTAGCTGCCGGCTGAGGAGGAGCTCACGCCACCGCCAGCACCGCCACTGGTCTGCTGCATGAGCTGCAGGCTGAGCTCATTGTCCACCACCCAGATGGTCTCCGGACCGGTCAGCTGCAGCAGCTTGGGGGCCGGGAAGTCGACGTCCTCCTTGCAGTTCTTGTACAGCTGCTGGCACTTCTCCTGGTAGTGCGACATGTGGACGGCTCGGTGCAGCTGGAGCATGGTCTCCTCGCCAGTGCGATACTCGCAGTAGGCGCACACGTAGCCCTGATCCTCCGGCTCCTGGTCGCTGTGGGCCAGCAGGTGCTGCTCCAGCTGCTGTTTGGCATTGCGCTCGTCATTGTGCTTCTGGGCAAACCGGGCCGGACACCTGGGACAGTAGCTGATCAGCTTGTACTGGTATTCCGGCGGCAGTTGCTGTGGATTGAGCTCCGCGTCCGTGGCGGCATCCAGCTGCAGCTGGGACAGATCGATGGACAGTGGCGTGGAGGCGGGCAGTTGTTGCACCTGCTTGGCGGCAGCGGCCAACTGGAGGGCCACACTGAAGTCCAGTCCCAGAGAGGGGCTGCCCTGAGCTCCAGATGATCCTGCTCCGACTCCTCCTGCTCCTGCTCCGGATGAAGCCATCTGCTGGTGGTGAACACTGCGCATGTGGCTGCTCAAGTGCTGCTTCTTGGCACACACAAAGGTGCACAGCCGGCACTCGTACTGCGTGGGCTTGTGCAGCGACACGTGGTAGTTCATCTGCGACTTGCTCTCCGAGATGTACGGACACACCGGGCACTTTTGCTGCTTGCTCTTGGTGTTGTTGCCACCGTGGTGCTCCGCCGTCGAAGGCAGGCGGGTGATCTCGATCTGGTCGTTCTGCTGCAGCTGGAGCAACTCCTCGGCACTGGTGCTGCTGCTGGCCACCACCGCCTTGCAGGCTGCGGCCCAATAGGCCGCCGCCGCCTGGAGATCCTGCTGGGTGTTGGCCGCATTCACCACCGCAGCGGCGCTGGCCGAGAGCGGGGAGTGGAGGAGCTGCTCCAGCTGCTTGGTGGTCATCAGCAGTTGGGCATTGTTGCTGCTGTTGCTGGCATTCGAGTTGCTTGGTTGGCCGGGCTTCAGGATGTTGCTGGTGGGGATGTGGGACTGGGACTCGTTGCTGGCACCTGCTCCCAATGGTCGATAGATGGGTGGTGCATTCGCCGAGGCACTGGCTCCGCGCTCAAGGGTCTCGATCCGAATATCCCCGGAATGCTTTAAGCGACAATGCCGCTGTTTGTGAAAAATCGAAAAATATATATAAACCACAATTAGTACAACCTTCGAATGGGGGATGCATTGCATTCATCAAGTGTCCTTCTGTTTTCATGTATATGTGTTTGTGTGTGTATGTGTGTGAATGCGTATTGAATATACCCTTTGCAGGGTATATATTATATATAACCATGAGTTTAGCCCAATCGAAAACCCTCGCACCGTAATGAGAATCCCTTAAAGGTTAGCTTTGTTTTTTCTTAGAATTTTTATGGTGTCATGGGTTTGTTTGTTTGTTTTTTTTCATGATTTTGGATTTATGGGTTACATTTAGTTCGAGAGGTAAAGAGAGCAAGCAAGACTTTCACCAATGATTTTCTTATAGTTAATAATCGTTTATCATATAGAGTACAACAAAAGCAAGACCAGACACCACACATTTAAACAGTCAAAATCGGGGTAATAAAAAAGGGGGGGTAATAAAAAGGGGGGAGGGGGTTAAAATTGACTTTGCATATTTACCAGCGCAGCGCAGGGACTACGGACACAGATGTGGGTGGTGAGATGGGTGGCGGAAGTGTCGGATCGGATCGGAGACTGCAAATTGTCTAAATCGTTCTAGCACTAATTATGTCTTTACATTATTTTAAGAAAATGTATCAAAAATCGGTCAAAATCTAGTCTTATATGCCTTTTTTTTTAAGGGGTACGAAGTTTGCAATTGCTTAACGTGTTATATTAACAAAAAAGATGAATCGTAATAATATGAAACTTAATTTTTTTAATAGGTCATCTTTTAAAATCAATAAACTGGCTTAACATTTAAACTCGTATAATTTCAATTCTGTTGATATGTTTTTCAAACAGATCTCTTTTGCAGAATGAATTACATTTAAAAACAAAATAGGAATATTTTAATCTTGCCTAAACCTTCCTTAAACCTAATGATAAATTCCTATTTCTGGGCACAGGCTTCTCAGACGCGTTCGGGTCAAAAACGAATCTTTCGGGGATTGGCGGCTCGTTTCGGTTTTTCAATGGGACAAAACACAAAACCAGTTAAGTGCACTGGGCCATACCTGGATGACATGCTTCCAATTCGAGACCTGGTGGCAGTGGCCGCAGCGATAGGGCGACGGGTCGCGTCGATCGCCATCGGCCATGGTGAGGATGCTGGGACTACCTGGACTATGGCTTTGGCTATGGAATCTCGTCTGCGGATGGGGCATCGGCACGGCAGGCGGCACCTGTTGCTGCTGCTGCTGCTGGGGCGCCATCGCAGCCAGGTAGGAGGAGGAGGCTGGCGGAGGCGGCGGCGACGAAGACGAGGACGAGGAGCCAACGGCCGATGAGGTGGAGGCCACCGAAGATGACGACGATGACGAAGACGACGACGACGACGACGATGACGAGGGAAAGGAGTTGGAGTTGGAGTTGGGTTTGGCTTTTGGGTTAGTGCTTATGGAGTGGGCATGGGTTAAACCCGCTGCCAGGTGGTAACCATCACCGGCCATGAGTGGATGGTCATTATGTTGCTGTTGCTGATGGTGATGGGATGAGAATGGGGATGAGGATGAGCTGTGGTGGTTACCCGCACCCAGTTGATGAGCCAGGGACTTTGAAAGAGCTGGTGTGGCAGTAGAAATAGGAGTAGGAGTGGTAGTTACTGGCAAAGGCGATGCATTGGGCTTGCTGACTGAGTTGGAAGGTGGTGGTTGTAGTGGTGGTGTGGTGTTGGATGAGGCGACGTAGACGGCATCCTGCCGGAGTCCATTTCCCACAACCGAGTTACTGTTAGCATTAGAGAGATGGTTTCCATTTCTGGCACTGCGCGGTGAGGTGAGCAGATCCTGCAGCGATCTGGTTGTGTCTTTGGTGGTGCTAGTGGTTGTGGTGGTGGTGACTTTGGTGGTGGTTCGACTGCTGCTGGTGGTGGTGGTGTTCGGCGACGTCAGACTGTCGGCACTTGCCTCGTTTTGACTCGCTTTCTGCTCACCGTGCTCTAAAATGGAGGCGGCACTGGCTTTCGTCGTATTGGCTTGTGGCTTTCCGCCCGCCAACGCCAAAGCAAGTCCGCTCAGAGCGCTGGCGCTGGGCGTGGGCGAGTGCTGCGCCTCCTGGATGGCCCGCTGCAGCAGTCCGGCCGAGATGGCCGGACTCGTACCTGTCGAACCGGAGTTGGGCGACGACTGCGACAGGCACATGGCGGCAAAGACCTTGTTCATGTAGAACTGCGGATTTCCGCCCACGGAAACCTGCAGCGGTGAGGTGCCGGCGGCGGCGGCGCCGGAGTTGGACTTCGGGTAGCTGGCGTCCTGGTAGTGGATCTTCACGTGGGCCAGCACTGCATCACGGTTCTGGTGGCTGTTAGAGGGGCGAAAAGAAACACCAATTAGTTCCCCTCAAGCAGCGACCTTTGACCCCAAACTCACCCAAAGTTGCACTTGCGGCAGCGGTAGACCGTCCTCTTCTCGTTGCCCTCCTGGTGCACCTCGGTGATCAGATCATCGCTGGGCTTGCCCTGCAACACCGAACCCGATCCCTGGCCTGCTCGCTTCACCGGCGAAATGGTCACCGATGGCGTGATCATCGTGGACTGGTGCTCCTTCTGCTGCTGCTGATGCTGCTGGTGTTGCTGCTGGGCCATGGCGGCGTTCATCATGGTGGCCAAGAGCGGTATGCGGATGAGGTTGTCCGCCAGATGGGCATCGTCCAGGACATTCGGCTTGCTGGGCAGCACCGGCTCCAGGGTAATGTCCTGCCCGGAAACAGAGCCCACCTTGGCGTAGTCCTTGAGGAAGGCCAGCGAGGCCACCTGGTTGGGGGTCATCTCGCCGGACTTCATCAGCTTGGGGTCGCCATCCTCCTCGGTGACCTTCATCAGGGTGATGTACTTGTTGTACTTGGTGTAGTTGCGGCGGCCCGTCTCGTCGTTCATCAGCACCTTGGCCGTCTTGTGCGAGGGATCGCGAATGGTCTTCAAGCGGATGTGCTTGGTGATGTCCCAGCGCCAGTTGGAGCGGTACGAGCAGAGGGAGCACTCAAAGGGCTTCTTGTTCAAATGGCCCACGATGTGCACGTGGAAGCGGGACGCCGTCGAGGCCCAGAAGCTGCAGTGCGGACACTTGTACACCTTCTTCAGGGACGAGTTGGCTGCCTCCTCCTCGGGCGTCATCTTTTTGGTTACCTGCAGTGCGTGAAAGAGTCAAATTTCATTTTGACGTGGCATATGCTCGTGCTGGGGTTCAGGGGCCTAACATCTTAGATCTTGAACACTTAAGGATCCCTTTTAAACTTATAGACTGGTTTATAAGTTATTCAACGATATAACTAACTTTGAAAAAATTTGTTTATATGTTTCATTCGACTCTTTTCGGAATTGATTTTAATGTCCGAAAATTTTATTTAAATTAAATCAAATATAGATTAAATACAGTGTATTCTAAAAGTGTCTATTTTTTGTGTATTTTTTAACTTTAATTTTTTATATACATTTCAAAATGTATATATTATATTTTATTGTAGGAATAGTTTTAGAGCAACTACAAAATTATACAGACACTTTCTATGTAAGTACTGTTTCGTCTTAAAACCTCTGAATTGAAAAAAAACTGAGGAACTAATAAACACTAATTTTGGGATCTTCGGCTGTGGAATCTGTGCTGAGTGAACTCCGGACTTACCTCGCCGTAGCCGGGAGCCGTTTCCACGCCGTAGTAGCTGTTCTCCTCGTTGCTAGCCGCCTGACTTCCGGCCGGGGACTTGACCAGGCTGTGGCCGCTGTTCTCCTGCTGGATGCAGGATGCAGCGGCTGCGGCGGCGACGATCTCCTTGGTGGCCTTGTTCCAGATGCACACCCTCTGCTGCTGCACCGCCGCCTGTTGCTGCAGGCTGTGCGCGTCCGGCCGCCGATCCGATCCGCTCTCCCCGGAGTTCGAGTCGTACATCTCGTTGGCGCAACGGATCGCCTCGACGCACTGCTTCAGGTGGTGCAGCAGGTCCGTGGAGGACTTGCAGCGGTGGCGACAATGCTGGCAGCGGGTGGAGCCCGTCACACTGAGATTCAGCGCCGAATGGGAGTGGTGGTCCTCGTCGTCCTCGTCGATCTCCAGCCGGTCGTCGGCATCGTCCTCGTGCAGCCCGGCGTCATCGTCGTCAATGATCACCGCCGAGGCGTGGCAGCTCTTGCCGTGAATGATCGACTCCGAAAGGCACTTGGCCACGTGGCCGCACTGGCACACCAGGTTCTCGTGCTGCGCCCCCGCCTTCAGCTTGTCCAGGAAGCTGGTCTTCTTGGTCATCAGGCTGCGCGTGGAGTTCTGGGACGCGACTGTCGTCGCCGGCGACAATTGGGGCACATCCGACTTGTCAAGCATCTCGGAAATCTGCTTCTCGTTGAAGAACATGGACGCAATCTCCGTCAGGGAGCTGCGCGAGGCATTCGTCTCCTTGGACAGGTTCAATACGCTGAAAGGGGAAAGCATTATTTTTAGGATTGGCAACGCATTCTTCTACCTACATACATACATATGTACATACGTACATAGATACTGACTTTTTAACAAATACAATATTCTCAACGAGTAACGGGTTTCACTCGTTATTAATTGGTTTACTTACTCTTTGGCTCCCTTGCTGATTGGGATGAGATTGGGAACTGGTCGCTGGGCCCTGGGCGTGGTGGTGCCCACACTCGATGTGTCCGAGGAGCAGCCGCCCTTCTGCGACAGATCCGTGGGCTCCTCCTCCTCGTCGTACTTGCTCCGCTTGCCGTAGTGATGCAGCGCCAACTGATGCTGCTCCTCGCCGCCGCTCATGGCCTCGTCTGGATCCTCGACGCCGTCGAGCTCATCGTCCACATTGTTGTTATTGTACTGGTCCTCCAGCTCGGCCGAGTCGCTGAGGAAATCGTCGCACATCTCACTGGCGCCGACCTTATTCTGGCGCCTGGGCCAAATGGAGCCGGCATTGCCCACCGGTGGGACATGGTGGTTCATCTCGTGCACCGTCAACGATTGCTTAATGTCGGCGGTGAAATCGCAGGCGGCACACTTGAAGGCACCCGCGCCGCCGTGGTTCTTCATATGCCGGTCCAGATTCCACTTGTAGGGCGTGCGGAAGTCGCAGGTCACGCACTTGATCATCGGCATGGAGTGGTACTTGACGTGTTTGCTGAACCGTGCCTTGATGTGGGTCACATAGCTGCACTTGTCGCAGCGGAAGAACTTCGTCTTGCCGTGCTCGGCCAGCTCGTGGGCGCGCAACTGGGTTCTGTAGAGGGTGGTGAACTCGCAGGCGCTGCACTTGAGCAGCCGGTTCTGCGGCTCCTCCCCGTTCGAGGGGGCGTGGCCGAGCCGCTGGTGGGCGAGGGAGTGGGCGGTTCGGCCGGCGACTGGCGCTCGTAGTCGCGCAGCACTTGAATCTGTCGCTCATACGCACTGGTGGCCACCAGTTCCAGTTCGCGCTGCTCGCGCTGCTGCTCCTCCCGTTGCCGCTGATTGAAGGCCTGTATGTCGCGCTGCAGCTTCTCCTCCTGCAGCAGCAGCTCCCGCTTCACCTGCTCCAGGGTGGGCACATCCGGCACGGCCACCGTCAGGCTCTGGCCGCCCATCACCCCGACGCTCTCCTCCAGCCGCCGTTTGCGTGCCTCCCGGCTCATGCCCCGCTTGCCACGGGCCTGGCCATGGCCACTGGGAATGCCGTCCGTGCAGCCGTGCACCATCTTCATGTGCCGCACCAGCTTCTGGAAGTGACGCGAGGCGTACAGGCACAGCTTGCACTTGTTGATCACGATCTTCTCGCCGTGCACGTCGCGCAGGTGGGTCAAGTGGTAGCGCGGGTTCTGCGTGAAGTACGCACAGTGGTTGCAGCTGTAGTTCCGCTTGATCTTGCACTGCGGCAGGCCCTCCTCCTTGGCGTCCATGCCGATGACGGCCTGCTGTTGCTGATGCTGTTGCTGCTGTTGCTGCTGCTGCTGTTGCTGTTGCTGCTGCTGCACGCTGTTAACAACTGCAACGGCTGCGGCCGCTTGTTGCTGCTGCTGCAGCAATTGCTGCAGACGGTAACGCTCCACATGTCGCTCCAGGAGCGATGAGCCCGCTTGTGTTGCTGCCGTGTTGCTGCTGGAGTTGCTCGGCATGTGTCCCGTGTTGCCGGTGTTGCCGGCAGGATGGTGGCCACCCTGCTCCGTGTACAGCTGATTGCCGCTGACCACGCTGCGCACGATGAGCGTGTCACCCGAACGCTGCACCATTGACGGCAGGTCCATGGTGCTGCTTGTTGAATGGTGTCCTGGCAACTCCCTCAAGACTGGCTAGTGGTCAACTGTAAGAAGAGGAAGGGCAATGTGATTAAGTCTTTGTTGCAAATTAACGTATTAATGTTTCTTTAATTGAAATTGTGTAATAATTTAATATAACATATTTTGATCTACGATTCAGTCTCAAAAGTAATATTTTAAACTAGGGGGCGTTGCCCTAAATAATACAGTTTAGATATACATGGATTAAGAAACTTATTGTTGGAAAAGGTACAAGTTTTTTGGATCTATTTTGGTACAAGGTTTTGGCGAAAAAAAGTAACTATTAAGGTAAAAGCTAGCATCATATTATCTTGCCAAAAAAAGTTTATAAAAAAATGGAATTGTCTTCAAATAAATATGTTTATAAAACTTATTAAATGGAATAAATTTCAGTATGAGTGAGTTTACTATACACATGAACTAGAAACTTGAAACAATACACTACCCTTGTGTTTCAGACTTTCAAAAAGAGAACAAACTGAGGAAATGAAATCCCAAATGCGATACAAAGGCTGCCTAAAATGCAGATTTCAACACTTGCCCAACTCATTACACATACATTATCACAAGCACACATGAATCTCATAAATATTTCAGCGCTTTTCACTTCCCCACTTACTCCCCTCCGCCGCCAGCCTTTATCAGCAAAAGTTGGTTTCAGTTTTCGTAACTTTCTTCGCAGGATATTTAAATGAAATGAAATGTTTTCTGTCCGACGAAAAAGCGACAAAGTAGCGTAAAATCAACAGAAAGTCGGGAAATTGAGCAACGGAAAATGGAAATTCATTCCAAAATTCTGACAGGAAAACGAACCCTAAGGGCCACCGCAAATCTCAGAGGTAAATGTATTGTAGTTTGTGCGTAACACAAATCCATTTTAGGGCTAATTGGAGTTGGCCAAGTTGAAAAAGGGAAATGGAGGCTGGGATCGAGTTAGGGAGCTGGAAAATTTTCAATGCTCCCACACGCACACCGAATAAAGAGCCAAAGACCCAATGAAGGTCAACCTTTTTTGGGAGCCACCGTTTGCTTGAGTGCACAGGAAGCGAGGAAATTCTGTGAAGCTTTCCCGAAACGGCGGCTAATCCTTGGGGTGTCGTTTTTATCAAATGCAGTAATTTTGCTTTTTAAGCGTTTTTTATTGCCCTCTCGCACCACATGTGTGTGTGTGTGTGTTAGGTCTCCCCCATAAACCGCAATTGTGTTTTGGCTTAGAGGGGACCAGAAAAAAGTACAATTTGATGGAGCATCTCTCTGGTGTCATCATTTAACTAACATATTTAATTATAAAAAGAGATGGCGCGAGAAATACATTAAAACTCACATATGTATTTCGCACGCACGCACACACACTAGGCTGTGTACTCTTGACATTCAACACGTTTATTGTCGCAGAGCAACAAGCTCATCATCCACCCAACATCCACCACCACACAACATCCTTCACCCTACATCCTCATCAGCGTCAAGGCGGAACTCATTAACAGAGAGGAGTCCAAGTGCGTGTGTGTAGCTGCGTTTGTTTGGCTTGATGGGTTGGCCCAGGGTTGGCAGGACAATGTATAAAGGTGTAGTGTGAAGGAGTCACTGCTAACGATTAGGGGCCAGGACCCAGACAAAATTCAATTTCGGTTGTTGTCGGTCAGGTGGACTTAAATGATAGCTTAGTTTGTCGGTAAAATTGTGGACAAACAATTGGTTTGAAATAAATTAATTCAAACAAGCTTAAAAAATCCGAAAATATTTTATAGATTGTATTTTAATCTTTTTTGTAGCTTAGGAACTCCGAACTGTTGGTATTATTTCATGTCCATTTTCAACACATCAAAAAGTTAATTTTTATTGAATTATTATAATTTTAGTTATATATTTACAAATTATTTTTCATCTTTAATCGAAGTCTTAATCACTGTTTCAGGTATCCCTCGTCCTGGACAGGATCGTCTTATCCTTATGCATTGTTGACACCGCGCTTATTACGGAAGGCGAATGAGAAAATACGTCGACGAGCTGCTTCCTGCTTATTTGCCTCTGTTTACATTTTGTTTGTGTTATTTTTGATGTTTTCTTTTTTTTTTTTCTCAGTTTTCAGTTGTTTGGCTGTTCTTCTTGTTGTTCTTGTCTGAGTAAATACACAGGCCCACACCGGCACGCAGGCAGGCACACAACCTGCTTATGCGGCAGCACGTCTCGCTTTGAAATTTTAATTTCTCACGCGACGCCAAAAAGTATGCTACAAAGGATAAGGCAAGGATGTGGGCGGGGCACGCACTTGCCGGGCCCAAGCTGTTGCCATTGTTTTTTTCTTGTTTTTGCTTGTGTTTTTGTTTTTGTTTTTCTTGCTGCTGTTGCAGCCTACGCGGACTTAATTAATCTTGCTGTGGGCTTAGCCCGTTGTCCTGGCAATCCTCAGTTATCCTGGTTATCCCCATCCCCATCCCGCACCCCTTTCACCCTTCATCACCAAATTTTGACGCTCTAAGACATCTTTTCCTCAGTTTTGGTCTGTTTCTGGTCTGTTTTTTGGTGATAATGAGGCGACAGTGGAACGCCTTTTTTCTGGGGCTGCATTAAAAACTGTTGAGCGTTGGCGGCACTTTGATTGATGGCTCTCGGCCCATGGGCTCCAAACTGTTTGGAACTTTTTAGCTTTCTGTCTTTTTAATTGAGAACCAGCCATTCTGTATATATATTTTTAAATTATTTTAAAGTCTCTGTACCTATGTACATTTTTATTTTTATTTATTTTTATTCTAGTTATATTCCTTATAGTCGTCTTTATAACCACATTTATTAATTCTTTATTTTCCTTGCCAAAATATAATTTTATTAAAAAAGAAAATTAATTTAATTTTAAATTATGCCAATATATAAATTTACATTGGGTTCGGCCCGATTTTAAAAAAAGTAAGGCTTTTTCAACCAGCCCTTAAGAAAATATCATAAAAGCAAAATGTTTTCCCTAAGTAGTTACATAATTTGGTAATTTCTGCGACTTAAATGTCTCGACAGTTCGGTTCGAATTTTCGCAGCTTAATTGGCACTGCAATCGTTAAGGTTCTGTGGACCAAGAGGCATTCTGGTTGCCAATTTCCTTGTTTGGTCATTTGGTTGCGGACCAGAAGAAGAGGATGGGGGCGATAAGGGAGGTGGAGCGAAAGGAAATGAGAGAACGGAAGCTGTGTTGTTGCTACAAATTAACTGCAAGCTGCAAAGAAGTAAATAAGAAATGTGCCAGAGGGAAAAAGACTGCTGGAATGCTCGACGAAATGTTTATTTTTATTCATCATCAATTTGTTTATTCGATGGCAACTAACGCTATCGATGCCCTTAAGGTTGGCCATTTCATTTTAATTTCATGATCGTTTCGAGAGGATGTTATCGCGCTGTTTATGTCAGTGCGAAAATGTAAAGCATTTCTCGTAAAAAGACTTAACAGCTGCGAATAAAAGCAAAGTTAATAATTAACAACGTTCGGAAAATATCTTCCTCAAATATAATTGGCCCCATTTAAATTTGAATTTAAATTGCTTACATTTAGGTTACAATCTAACCAGTTTTTTGCCACATCTCGTTTGCAGAAACCAAAATTGAAGACGGAAACTTTGCTTTTACTTAAAGATGCTGTTGCTAAATCTAAAACGTCAAGGCAGTCAAAACTTTTACAAAACAGTCAGCCATTCGCCGCATCCATAGGGATCATTGGGGCCAACGCGTTTATATTGCCTTCAGATAAATCTCAACAGTCGCAAAAGTTTATTTCGCATTCTTGAAATTAAATAAAGATTTGTCACGTAGAAATCCATTTGCTGAAAGTCACCCACACATATTGAGTCGTTCCTAGCACACACGCACACTGATGAGCCAGCATAAAGAAAACAGTGTTTCCTATTTCTTCTCTTTCTTTTCCTAGACAAATACCAAGGTCGAAACTTTGCCTGCTGTGATTTTTGAGTTTGAAATCGCACCACGCCTGTAACTTCTTTGTGAACACTTGGGAATTTCTTTTAGTTTGTTTTTGTTCTGGTCGCGAAAAAAAAAATGACCGGAAGTTGCTAGAGCTTCTGCTTCCGTTTTTGATTAAAGTTGAGTGACTGGAACGTGCTCAAGAATCTAAGCGAAATAGTAATTAAAGTTGCTACCGAAAGTCGTTTTTCGTTGGCATTTTTTCTCATTTGCTATTTAGTACGGGTGTTGGTATGAGCATATGTTGGCATATGTTGACAGTCACCTGCTGTGCCGTTGGCTATGAATGTGTGAATATATTTCCGTGGCCCTTATTTTTGGAAAACCACCACAAGTCACCCTATTTCCTTCATACATAAACATGACGCGAAGTTGTCAGTATCTTGTCTTGACACTCATACGACATGTTGGCCATCCGAGTTTTTCAGCTATATATGCACTACAACTAATTAGCAAATACAGATATGTGTGACGAATAGTAAAGACCAAAATCAAAATAAAAACAAAAATATGCCTCGATAGTTACGGTTGCTGATAAAAAAAATGGTAAAAACATTAAAAAAAAGAAAACGCTGAAAGGAAAACCACGAGGTGGGAAAAATCACAAACGAGATACCCATGAACCCGCGCACATGAAAATTAACAGAAAGCAAAAAATGGCAGGACAACGTTGCTAATGCGCCCCGTTTGCATTGTCTGCACTCACACAAGTACACTACACACACAGACACACACAAAAAACACACACTCACTCTTACTTGATTCGGCTGCCGTCGGATTTAACAGCAAGCTTTTCTTTTGTTTAACCGAACCAAACAAAAAACGTCGCTCTTTCTCTTCCCCTTCCCTTATTTCTCTCTCTTAGCAAATGTTTTCCCGGTTTTTTTTAGCCGTCACACAACGAATCGCTCTAGTGGTCCAACAACAACTGAAGAAGTGACCGCCGCGGTTGGATTTTCCCAGCAAAAATGCTGTGAAAAGGATGCTGCTATTGGTGAAGCCGCAACTTCGGCTGCTGTTGGCTAGTTGGTCTCTCTTCCTCTGCAGAGGACTGTAA